TCTATTTCACAAATTAATGCACATAATAATTTCGCATAAATCAAATGGTAGAAATAATATAAATAAAATCTTAGTCAGTGTATTCAAAGTCAGCATAGTAATAAAATGGCAAATCAGTGTTTTCATTTTCAGATGATTCGATAATATCATTGTGCTCATTTAAATTTCTTATTTCATTTATGTTTATTGGCTTTAGTTCCTCATTTCTATCATCAAAATCATCATCTAATCCAACTCATTATATTATTCATCCGCATAAATATCGTCATTAGCATCATTTGTATTTTTCTTTTCAGTTTCTTGAAAAAGAAGATTAACTGCGTCTCCATCTAGATTCATTTTTTTATGTTTACATTTCGATCTTGCATAGTTTAGAGATGAAAAAATTGGGTCACTCGAAAACATTAAATAATTGAATTGGTCCGTCATTGTAGCTTTTTGATCAAATTTAAGAGTGTGTTGTAAAAAATATTTTTATTATCTTTATTCCGAGCTTCAATTGCTTCTTCAGAGTACATTCCATTTGTTAGCATAAATCTAGATATTGTCAGACTACTATGAATGAGTAGTTTGTGTACAGAGGCTGACATGTAAAACCATGAGTACTCTCGAACAAAAATATTTGCTGTTTCCAAAGAATATGTTTCATACTTGGCTATATTAATTTTTTTATTTAAATTAATGACAGATAGAATAATGTATAGCCTGTATATCAAATCATTCTTGACTCCTGTTATTCGCGAAAACTCTGCTTGCTGATGAAAGGCACAACGAGCGGTATTGCCATCATTTGATCTCGCAGATCCGCCTTGAAGAGACATGTCAATAATAAGGCCAATTTTTGCAAACTCACGCTGAACAAATATTTTTTTTACAGCTGCTAATTTTATATTTTCAGGTCCACGTATTTGCCATTCTTTAATATCAAGTCTATAACTTATATGTAGAGTACACTCGAAACATCAAATCCATGTATGTAATGACAATAACCCAAACTCTAAGCTTTGCAAATCTGTTGAGCGGATCAGAGCTTTATCTAAGTTGTTCATTGATCTAGGAGTACATTTGCAAATATTACAAATTTGAGCCGATTTATTGTCATAAATTGCATTAACTGCTTTTCCATCAATCATTGTAAGTTTAAAATTGAATCTTACTTCAATTACACGCTTCTTTTCAGCTTCTGTTTCCATTATTTCTAATCAATAATCATTGCACTCAGACATTAAAGCTTTGATCAGACATTAAAACATTACATTCATCATTGTTGTTTGTTTGGACGGAAAAATCTTTGTTTATACTGTTTTTGGCTACTTGCGCCGTCGAAGCCCCATTTGCAATCCAAAGTTATTCCTAAACAGGATTCAAAGAAATCAATTTAAGATATTCTGTCTTCAACAGTAATTAGTTGCAGCATTCAATGAACTGTATGGTATAAGAATTCTTCGCCTTTCATTCCATTTTCAGCTATATAAATACCATCAGGATAACACTTTTTTTTTCGTCGCGAATGTTGTTACATGTAGAATATATATTTGCATTACACTTAGTTGAGTTATTTCGCATAGCTTGATATTGCGTCTTCGATAAATTCATGGCTGTTATTAATGCTAATCCCTCTAGTGGCGTATTTGCTACAATTTGCTTGTTTTGATCGAGAATAAAACATTTTCTTTGATTTGCATACATACAGCAAACTATATCGCTTTTTTTCTAACCCCATTTCTGCTGCTTGTAAGATTTTATCATGATCATGATTTACTAACAATATGGATGCGTGCCGACGTTTACTTCAGAGGACATATCTTCGTATTTCTGACATGGTCTTCCAAATGACTGTTCATTTAAACAAAAAACATTTAAATCGACGGTTTGTGATGATTGTTCGCTAGGTTGCTTATTAATCAAAGACAAAATTTTATTATTAAGCTAAAATGATTCGCCACTTAAAAATTTGCACTTATTTCAAAAATATTTTTTACTAAATTTTGATCGGCATTTGCATACAAATTTGAGAAGAGCTTTTTTAAAGCAAGTAAAATCATCATTTAAATTGATGGATACGTTTAATTCGTTTATGAGCATACTATTATACTGATCTACGATTTGTCTTAAAGTAAGTTGTGATGAAATAGTATCTTTAATTTTTTTAAATACTTCAAGCCGAGTTGTGTTATTAAACATTTTTAAAAGATAACTTGATTATTTATAAGATAAGAGTTTTAATAATGCTACTTCAAGAGAAAATTTAAATATCTATAATTTACTGTAAATTAATTTAAATATTTTTATTACTTTCGGAACATAATTGCAATTAAATCGCTGCAATTATCAACTAACTAGTCTTCATATAAACATATAATATCATATAAACTTCAAATTTTCAGACAAATAATTTTTTTCACGTCACAATACATTGTAAAGTATGAATGAAATTAGTCTAAAATCTTGAAATTTTAAAATCGATTTTAAGTCTAAGTTATAGCTAGTCGCAGCTGATTTTTTTAAATAGCATTAAACAACCGTTATACTTCCTAAATATCATTAATTCCAATTTCAAGAGAGCGGCATTTAGTTGGAATCGAGTACTTAAATATTTATTTTTTACGCATTTATAGTGAAATGATTTTCTTTTTTTTTCCTTTTTTGAAAATATTAAAATAATAAAATAAAATTTATTTTAAATAATAACGGTTCGATGTGTTTAATAAAATTAAAAAAAAAAAAAAACTATATTCCTTAAACAAATACATTAACTTTAAATTGGTCTTTTTATAAAAGCAAAAAAAGTTGTCGATTTTGAACTAAAAAATATATCATAAAGAATACATGGTCGCAGCTGGGTTTTTTTTTTGAACAATAACTGCCGTTTAGTAAATGCAAAAATCAGAAAATTAAACGATCTTCGAGTGGTATTTAGAAAAAGGAAGATGAGGAAAATTAGAAAAACACCTCTAAAATACCAACAATTCTAAGACATATTATGAATAAATTAAATACAAATATATAACTAAAACATATACTTTTTATAAGCACTAATTTTAAAATTAGTTATATGCTGCCTTTTTATTTATTTATTTTTTATTTTTCAATTTACATATTATGTGTATATATATATATATATATATATATATATATATATATATATATATATATATATATATATATATATATATATATATATATATATATATATATATATATATATATATATACATTATATGTAAATTGAAATATATATATATATATATATATATATATATATATATATATGTGTGTATATATATATATATATATATATATACATATATGTATATATATATATATATATATATATATATATATATATATATATATATATATATATATATATATATATATATATATATATTATATAAACATATGGCCAATATAAATTCTATAGAATTTCTATAGAATTTCTATAGCACCACTGTTAATTTCTATAGAAATTTCTATAGAACTTTTTTTTCAACTTTTTTAAAAAAAGTTTTATAGCAATTTCTATAGAAATTAATAGACATTTTATAGAAATTCAATAGAAATTCTATAGAATTTCTATAAGCCATATGATTCAAAAGTTTATAGAAATTCTGTAGAACTTTTTTTCCTGGGTCAGAAAGGATTTTCTTTTAACACTTTATTTTTGTGTTTGCTCATTATGCTTTTCAAACAAGCTTGTAAACTTGCATAAAATCAAGTCTATAATGGAAAGAACAAGTTTGTTTAGAAAGAAATCAAGAAAGGGTCTTCGAACTACACCAAATAAATATTAGACATTTAATAGAGGTTATTTTGATAGCCAAAAAATTTATTGAAAACATATTCTAGCATTTAAACTTTGTTGCAGTATGATTGGAAGATGCAATAATAAAGTGAAAGCCAAATAAAGTTGTGTAATTTTATACTTTAAATAATAATATCATGTAAGCAATGATTTATGCAATAGGTTTAATTTAAGTAGTTTAATAATTTTTAAAAATTTTATTTATAAAGTTTTGAAATATTTTAAAAATATTAAAACTTTTTTTTGTAAAGCTTTTTCTATCACGCAACTTTAACCTAAAAGGTTACTTTTAAGCCTCCCTGGAAATTTTTAAAGATTATTAAAAAACCTCAAGTTTTCCTTACTGTCCTCTTTATTATGCACAGTGTATGATTTAACAATAAATACATTTTTTTATTTAAGATAAAAAAATGTATTTATGGAACACCTTATATATATATATATATATATATATATATATATATATATATATATATATATATATATATATATATATATATATATATATATATATATATATATATATATATATATATATATATATATATATATATATATATATATATAAGGTGTTCCAAAAAAATGACTTTTGTGAATTTCAACTAACATTGCTTTTCATAAGATGCTCAAACCTTGATATTACTAATAAAAAAATTTTTTATTATTATTAGACCACTCCATGACTTCCCTCAATGGGTCCCAAGGTTATTTTTTGCCCGCTTTTCACCCTTATTTTGGACGAACTGAGGGGGATGTTCCCTATGTACAAATGTGTTTTTTTTTTAGCTTAATTCAATTGTTAAAAGAAATATAAATGCAATGTTAAGCCAAATTTTTTTTTTTAATTTTTTTCATTATTTGAGCAACGAAGATCAGAAAATTAAAAAAAAAAAAAAAAAAAAAACACATTTTAAAGATTTTTAATAAACTTTACATATTGAAATATTTTAAACTTATATTTATAATAAGTTTCTGAAGTAATTTTTGATAACTTATAAATTTATTTTTAAGTAAAAGTGTTCTTTGCATAATTAGCTTTTTTTTTAATTCTTCTTCCGCTCTTATATTTGTTCGATACAAGTAAGGTATTTTGTCTTTTTTCCTCACTGTGTGATTTATTGATTAATTCCTATTTATAAATTATAAAAAATTGTAAGTTTGTAAACAAATTTGCAATTTTTAACATTAAGCTAAGCTAAGTACATAAACTGAACATAAATAATATATACCTGAACTAGTTTTATACCCCTCTCACTGCAGTCATTTACTACTTCAAGATTATTCACAAATTGTTTAAATTCTAGGAAATAGTCATTTAGATCCTATGTCTCAACCGGAGTCTTAAGCGTTTGTACCTCAGAATTTGCATGGTTTAGCATATGAAAAATTAACTAACTCTAATCAGTGGGGTCAGACTAGGGGGAGTATCATCACTATACACAAGGGAGTTTAGTAAATTCAAAACAACTTTTTGTCTTTATTTGGCATTAGTTGTAGGCCTTGGGGTAGAGTACAGCTTTTTGGCAATGTCACTCCGTTCTTGTACATTTTTGTCAGCAAGAGACATAACAACAATAAATGGGTCTATGTACCAGGTGTGTCTCTTCAGAGATTCAATAACAGGATTTGACTGGTCAGGATTGAATTTTGAGTATATCATCATTTGCCAAAGAGCTTTCATATCCTAAAATATTTTAGACTATGAAATACTTTCATATAAAAAAAGTAATAAAAATTTAAACTAAGTTGATTTAGAAACTTGGAAAACATAAAAAATGGCACCTGATATGGAGCAATGGCTGGGATTTCAGCTCTTATAAACCAATCAGTGTAAAATACAGCTGTGAAAAATGCCATATCGTTTATTTCTTTCCTCTCAAAATCTGTCAAGCTAGGAATGTTGTCTAGATTGAGATACATTTTCAGAAAGTATATTCCCTTTGCCATAAATCTGGCATGATGTAGAGGCCCAGGGTTTCTTATTCTGTACTGTTCACCTCCAGATAAAACCATTGTTGTTAACTCTGCTAACTCCAAATAATCACACCTACATCCATCCTAAATAAAACTGCTCATTTAATAACTTTATTTTATTAAATAAGGTACTAAAATATTTAGTAAATTCAGAATTTTAAATATCTTTTTCATTGTTTTCATCCTGATAATATTTTGAGAAAATGATAAGGCTTCCTTGATTTGTTTTTGTAGCCACCTTTCAGAAATATCTTCAATTTTTACTTTTTTTAGCACAATTGCATTTTGATTTATTGAGTTCTAAACAACTTTGCAAAGGTGCACACACCTTTTTTGTTACCAGTATTTACAGAAGTGGTATCAAAAACGCATCCTTGCAATTTATCAGAAATACAAAATTGATGAAGAAGTTTCATGATTGCATTTTTCTGTCTTTCTCCAGTGCAAGAGTTTAAATGAGGAATACCAAGGAGCTCTGTCTGTCCATCGATCCTGATGGAAACAGCAATTCTTTCAAGTTGATATTCTTTTTCATTTGTGAACTCCTTAACAAGCTTTTTATCAAAGTGGAGAATTATTGGTAATAATGAAGATTTAACAAGATCAGTAATGTATTTTCTTATCATGTCTTCTCCATTAATTACAACTTTCTCTGCAATTGCAGTTGAAGAAAATAGTGCAAAATTAGAAACATCACCTCCTGAATTGGCAATAACACTTGCCACTATTGCAGTGTGTTGTTTAACTGAAAGTCCTTCACCTATTGCTGAGAGAGCTGTTTTTTTTTTAATATTTTTAGGTAAAGAAATAACAGAGGTAGGTAATTCTTTCTTTATATATGCTACATATTCATAGTCAGAATTGTTATCACTACTCGATGAGTTTTCTAAAATGTATGGAGTGTTACCTGTATATATATTGCTTAGTTTGATTTTTAGCATTTGTCATGGGACAGGATTTATTGTGTGATCGCTTAATAGTGTATGCAAACTTTTTATCATTTTTTCCTATTCTTTCCATGCTATTACCTAGTTGGTCCAAGATAAAGGCAATATCTTCATTTTTGGCTTTAGACGTCCTTCTCCTGTCTTTCCTAATATCTTCAATGAGTTCTTCTTTTTTTTTTACTTATCCAAAAGCATTTTAATATTTCTTCTTTGCTTTTTATATCTGATGGGTTGTTCCTTTTGCTGTTCTTCTTTAACCTGTAATAGTTGTTCACCATTTTATTATTCCTTAAAAAGAAAATCATTTTAAATTTTTGAAATAAAGATTAGAAAAAAATTGATAAAATTGTAATTCATAGTTAACTTGATATTTTTCAATGTTATGATGGGAAACCCTGCAAGATTCCATAACTTAACCAACTTAGACATTACACAGCAGTTAGTCTGTAGAGGACATCTAAGCTCAAATGAATTAATTTTGAAATGGCACCTTATTAATACTGTTTGCTTTACTTTGGGATTCAAGTTTCTCAGATAAAGATAGTATTGCAAAACCTCTTTGCCGGTAGGAAGTACATAACTTGAAAGATTTTCCCTAACTTTTTATACAAGAAATAGTTCTACTTTATCTCGAGTAAGCTTTATCTTCTTTTTTGGTGGCATTTTATAACAATATATTTTTAAAGTATTTTAAGTCACTAAAAAAATAAATTATAACCAAAAATTGAAAATAAGTTAAAACTAACATTGTATTTATGTATGTATATATCAATGTGTTCATGTGAATGCAAATGCATGTATGAATATATTTATATATGAATGTATATTTAAAATATGACAGAATACACATAAAAAAAAAATATAGGACAAAGATAGAAATATCGTAAAAAAAATCTTTTTTTTTTGCATTTTCTGACCTTCATTGCTCAAATAATGAAAAAAATTAGGTTTAACATTTTTATTTCCTTTAACAATTGAATTAAGCTAAGAAAAAAACAAAAAAAAACAACATCTGCACATAGGGAACACCCCCCTCAGTTCGTCCGAAATAAGGGTAAAAAGAGGGCAAAAAATGACCTTAGGACCCATTGAGGGAAGTCATGGAGTGGTCTAATAATCAAGGTTTGAGCACCTTATGAAAAGCAATGTTAGTTGAAAATCAAAAAAGTCATTTTTTGGAACAACTTAATATATATATATATATATATATATATATATATATATATATATATATATATATATATATATATATATATATATATATATATATATATATATATATATTATATATATATATATATATATATATATATATATATATATATATATATATATATATATATATATATATATATATATATATATATATATATATATATATATATATATATATATATATATATATGTCGTCGTTTTATTACCACCGTAATAAAACGACGCAAAAATTCCGGTGGATTGCGATTAAACATGTCCAAACACTGTTGCGAAGTCGTCACTCGGTTGCGTTTTTGTTCAACAGTCAACACGCGCGGCACCCATCTGCTTTTTCATTACCAAATGTTTGTGTAAAATATTAAAAACACGTTCATAAGAAATTTGATTTTACGATTTGATTTCACTATTTTCTATCACAATATCATGAATTTTTTTCAATCATTTCTTAAGTTGTGAGCTCTTTTGGCCTTCTTGAACGTTCTGCGTCACTTGTACTTGAACGACCACGTTTGAATTCATTATACTAATCGTAAACAGTTGTTTTCAATGGAGCAGAGTAACCCAATGTTTTATTGAAGTCATTTATTATTTCTTGAGGTTTTAAGCCTTTCAAATATTGATATTTTATCACTGCCCAAATTTCAGTTTTTTCCATATCAGCAAAAAAATCGAGATTATTTTACTTCACTTGCTATAAACACAAAACTAGATAATAAACTGACTTAAAATTTATATAGTAATCGTATACAGGTCTGAACTTGCCGTACATATAAATTTTATCTTTATAGCAATGATTCATACATCCCATTCCGGGAACTTATCAATCCATGTAGTATATATATATATATATATATATATATATATATATATATATATATATATATATATATATATATATATATATATATATATATATATATATATATATATATATATATATATATATATATATATATATATATATATATATATATATATATATATATATATATATATATATATATATATATATATATATATATAGTTGCTTTTTCTCTTTATTTTGTACAAAATAATATTTTTATAACATTTGTACCCAGGAAAAAAAATTCTATAGAACTTTTTTTCCTGGGTAATATATGGCCTATAGAAATTCTATAGAATTTCTATAGAGTTTCTGTTAACTTCTAAAAAATTCCTATTGAAAGTTTTTTTCTTTTTTTTTTTTTTTTTTTTTTTTTATAGAAAAAAAGTTTTATAGCAATTTCTATAGAAATGAATAAACATTCTATAGATTTTCTAGAGTTTCTGTAGGCCATATGTTTCAAAAGTTTATATAAAGTTCTATAGAACTTTTTTTCCTGGGTAGCTACCCAGGAAAAAAAGTTTTGAAACATATGGTCTATAGAAATTTTATAAAATTCTATTGGATTTCTATAGAATTTCTGTTAACTTTTATAAAAATTTCTATATAAATTTTTTTTTCTACTTTTTTTATAGAAATTTTAGTTTTTTTAGCAATTTTAGCAATTTCTATAGAAATTAATAGACATTCTATAGAAATTCTATAGACTTTTTATAGGCCATATGTTTCAAAAGTTTATAGAAAATTTTATAGAACTTTTATATTATATATATTTATTTATTTTGGCAGAGATTCAAAGGGATCAATGACATTCCTGGGTATTAAAACTTTTTTCGACTTTGGATTATTGTTTAAAATTTATAACGAAAATTATTAATTTTTATTATTGGTTTAAAAGCATAAAGTTTCCTTATTGCATTATACCGAATATTATTTAAAAATAGTTTACCCTTTCTTCTTCCTAAGGCTGGTTGTTGACCAAAGTAATTATCTAATGAATCTTGTCATAGTTATTTAGATAAAACATACTTTAATCAATTTTCAAAAGGTATTTAGCTATTTTAATAAATAAGTTGACAGTGACATTGATCCCTTTAAATCTTTGCCAAAATAAATATATATAAACTTTTATATAAAATATATAAGCCTATATATAAGTTAAATTTTTTGGTCTTTTATTTTTTTTTAAATGAAATAAGTTTAGACACAAGTTTATTTAACATTGATCATTTAAATAAAAGTAAATATATAAATATTAACTTTCATCTGTTTTAGAAAAATAGTTGATTTTTATGAGTATGCTATAGAAATAAGAGAAACTACAATAGAAGGATTTAGCAATGATAGGTTTAGAATGAAGGATTTAAGCTCTTAACTGGAAAGTTTATTGAAGGTAGTGAGTCGATCCAAACAAAAAAACTTTGGATAAACAATTAAGTTATTAGTTTTTTTCGACTGCTATATGATATAGTAGTTTTACATAATTATATGTAAAATTACTATATCATATTATATTTTTAGATATAATATATTATAAGTAAAGATATCTTTAGTTATAATTTGTAAAAATTTTCCTCTTGATTCTTTGTTAAATCGGAAGAAGATATCTCAATTAGAAAAACATTTATACTTCTTCGAGAGGTTTTGGAGCAAAATATGTAACATTTAAGATGAGGTATTTGCAAAAAATGAAAAATAAATCAATAATCTTCTTGTAAATATTCTTTTTTTATTTTATGTATTTTATATATTCTATATTGTTATATTTTTGCGCAGTGGATAGCCTACCGAAAGTCGGTAGCGGAAAAATAAAAATTATCCTACCGAAAGTTTTTTTTTATTGGTTAAGAAATATCACGTGTCACAATAAACTTGCTATAAAAATATATTTTTAAGTTTTAAGATGCAAAGATCAGTAGTGTATCGGATATAACCTTGGAACAGAGCGTAGATGTTCCGCGTTCGACGCCTTTCTAAGGAATGTTTTTTACATTTCGATTGTTTTTTTCCATATTTTTTAGGTTTTATTACGCTTGAATAAATTATTTAGGGATATACGTTGAAAATAGCACAATGCATTAA